TATTCTTTATTTTTTGTCACTAACTCTAGTTGTATCCTTTTCAGTTTTCTGTCAATGCAGAAGTATGCATATTGATTTTGTATCTAGCAACCTTGTTAAATACTTGAGGCTTGTCTGAAAAATGATAGTTTTGTTTCTTCTGTAATAATACTTGATCTCTTTCTTATCTTCCATGCTAGCTGAGACCTCCAGTACAATGTCAAGTAAAAGCAGCAATAGTACACATTCTTGCCTTGCTCCTGATTTAAGGGAGTATTTTTGATTATCACTGAGTATAATGATTGATGTAAATTTTTGGTAAATACTTTTCCCCAGGTTAAAGACGTTCCCCTCTATATCACATGGCTGGTAGGTTGGGTTTTTTTTTTTTTTTAAATCATGAATGGATGCTGAATTTTTTTTTTTAATTTTTTAATTTTTTTTTTTAAGATTTTATTTATTTGAGAGAGAGAGCACAAGAGGGGGGCGCAGGAGAGGGAGAAGCAGACTCCCTGCTGAGCAGGGAGCCCAATGTGGGACTCGATCCCAGGACTCCAGGATCATGACCTGAGCCGAAGGCAGTTGCTTAACCAACTGAGCCACCCAGGCGCCCGGATGCTGAATTTTTATATCAGATTCTTCTCTATTAAGATAATTTCTCCCTTTAATCTGCTAATGATATTAATGTGTATTAATAAATTTTACTAATGTTAAACCAAACAGCATTCTTGGGATATACGGAGCTTGATGGATTCCATTTACTAACACCCCTTTAGGGACTTCTGCGTATCTATTCATAAATACGAATGACTTTGAATTTTCTTTTCTTATGCTACTCTTGTCTGGTTTTGGTATCAAGGTTACATTAGCTTCGCAAAAGGAGGTAGGAAGTGTTCTTTCTTTTTCTATTTTCTAAAGGAGTCTGCAAAAGAGTAGAACTTGTCTGTTTCATGAATGATTGACAGGACTCTCCCAAAAACCGTCCCTACCTGATGGATACATTTTCGTAACAGTTACAAGGCTACTCAGCTTTCCACTTGTTCTTTAATCAGCTTTGGTGCATTCTAGTATTCCAGAAATGTGTCCATTTTGCCTGGGTCTTAAAATTTACTGGTATGAAATTGATCCTAATAGTCCCTTACTATCTTTTTAATCTCTGCTGTGGCTGCAAAGTTACCCTGTTTCCAGCATTAACCCTTTCTTTCCTGATTAGGAAGTCTCTTCAAAGAACCAATTTCTGGGCTGTTTGTCTCTTGGATCTTTTTTTTTTTTAGTTCTTCTATATTTTTATTATTATTCATATTTATTATTTCCTTCTCCCTGTTCTCTTTGAGCTTATTCTGTTGTACTTCTCTAATGTTTTAAGCTGATGCTCATAGGTTTTCAGTCTTTCATTTCCTCCCTGAGAGAAGCATCTAAGTTATTTCTTAAGAGGATTTTCCTCTCTGAGAACACTTGGCTTAAGCATCCAGCTCCCCTACAGCCAAGAGGAGGAGGGCCCAAGCCAACTCCTTCCCCTCCTCAACCTTTTATACCAGGACCCTCGTCAGGGAGAGAAGCAAGGAGAGGAAGAGACTATTTCCAAGACCTAGCACTTTCCTAGAGAGTGTGTCACTTCACTGAAGGGACTGTCTGAATTACTGGACTAAAATAAGTCTTAAATTGGATTGACCATTGAGGTCAACCCCTTCTCCCCGCACTGATCGCTTGGCCGGGCCTGTGAAACAGGCAAACTTAGGTACATTAATCAATCAGTCAATCACTCAATCACATTTCAGTGTGGGCTAAATTTGATGACTGGGCTATAATGATCCTGAGTGACCGATGCGATTATAGTATTGCCCGCTGTTCAATCGAGGACAGCAAATACAGTTATTCACTAGTTTCTTTTAAAGCTATTTCCCGAGCAGACGTTCTGACGCCCCTTTCTCCTTATTAACACAGCACAACCTGAAGAAAGGATGGAGGCAAAATGATTTACAAACCATCCCCGGAGGCAACCTTGCTGTTCATTTATTCCCTGCCATTTTTGAGAGCCTTAAAGCTTTTTAGTTCCTGCCATGGCTGCCTTCACATACCTTCCAGGCTAAAGGGGAAGAGAGACAAAGGGACGGGCGGCTCTCAGGCCTGATGACAAATGCGTCACAAGTCGCGTGGGTGGAATCGGGGCACACGGTGGAGGGCACCCGGCCTATCGTCTGGGGCTCAGGGAAGACCTTCCTTGAGGAAGTGGCGTCCAAGCCAAAGGGAGCCCGGCAAAGAAGTGGTTCAGCCCGTGCCAAGGCCTGGAGGCTGGCGAGCATGCCCAACGCACCAGGGCCTGGCAGAAATTCAGAATGGCGCGCATCCAGTGATAGGTGGTAAGGAGTGAAAGGAGTCTAGAAAGGGAGGCAGCTGCCCAGTCATGAGGGTCTCACCAGCCACAGGAAGCAAGGTGTCTGGATTTGCCCTGAGAACCACAAGAAAACACTGAAGGGCGTGAGCGGGACCCTGGCCGGGCTAACGTTTCCCACGACGGTACAACACACTACGAATACACCATCTCGCAGGACCTCTGAAGTCCTGTGTGAATTTCTCGCTGTCTGAAAACTGCATCTTGTTCTCAGTTTTGTTTTTTCTTTTCGGGACCTCAAATAGTGAAGTAATCTCAACAAATTGCAAGGCAAAGAACATGTTTTCACAACACCATACGTTGTTCCGGGAGGAACGCAAGCACTTTGGGATAAACTCAAAGAATATATCCAATAAATACAATTGCATTCAGCAGGCACTAATGAAGGATACAAGAGTAATCCTCTGATTAAAGAAGGCAGCATTTTAGAAAAACAAGCTGAATGGGTCCTGCCCCATCGAAGCACCGAGACACGCTGGCTTCTGACCTTACTCATCAGAAAACCGACCGTGTCATGTGGTCCCCCTCTGCTATGAACGCTCCTTCTTCAGAAACAAGTAGGAGTTAGCCCTTTCTACTCAAATTAGCTTACTAGAAAACAAATTATTTAACGTAAACATAGCAATTAGCAACGATTTAAATATTAGCAGTGCTATAAAAATATTTTTCAAATCGCTTAAAAAAAAAAAGGCAAATAAGAAATCTGGAATGTCTCTCGGGCATTTCAAATTTAATATATCTGGAAGCACACCCACTACCCCATTCAGAGTGTGGGGTAATCTATACTATAAGTGGGTTACATTCCTAAAAGTGAGAGGGTGTGAAGACAGAGTTTTATATTGAAGGAGAAATATACATGTAATATATTTTGTGTGTGGGGGGGTGGGTGTATATAAACATATATACGGCCATCCCGGAGTACAACACATGAACTCGATTGAACCCAGTTCAGGGGCAGGGCAGTTATAAAAGACATTTTGGGAGTAACTGGGGAAGATTGATCTGGGACCAAATATTAGCTACCACGGAATGAGTGTTGCTTTTCCAGGTGCGATACTCGGGCTTATGTGGCAATACTGGGGAACAACCTCTCGGAGACGTACGTGTGCATGTGTTTAGGAGCACAGAGCCGGGCTATCTGCAACTTACTTTCAAATGTGGTGAAATACTAGCGAGCGGTGAGTCTGGGTAAAGGGTGTACACGTGCTCGTTACACCAGTTCTTTCTCCTTTTATGCAGATTGGAGATTTTTCAGTCAGAACAAAAAACAAGCAAACAACCCAAGCCAGCACACTGAGCTATTTCAGTCGCAGAAACCCTAAGCCACTGGGCCTCACAAAAGCTGCTGAACGGGTCAAAGAAGAGATCGGGTCAATGCGGGCAGGTGTAAGGTGACAGTCTCACTCAGAAAACCAGCGTTTGGAGATGCATTTGTGAGGAAAGGCAATTCATGTCTGTCCAGACCTGGGGTAGTGATATCCCCCGAGCCTCCCGGGGCTGAGCACCGGAGGGCTTCCTGCGACAGGCGATGGTAAACAGAGGAGCCTTCTGTGGCGTCCCTCCTGAAACCCACAGTGGTGCCAGCATCCCTGCTCCTTCCTGCATGGCGCCCTCGCCCTCTGCTGTCACCTGCTCACTGAAGAATGTGCCAAAGGCCGGCCCCGACCTCTGCCTCTGGAGCTCTGGGCCCAGGACGCCAGCGCCCTTCCCTCGTGTCCCAGAAGTCAACCGGCTCGGCCCACCACCTCCCGTCCCTCCTGAACCTGCCATCTCACTTCCCCATGTGCTCTGGGCATCGGGAAGGTGCAAGAAAATAAAATCCTCAAGATGCTCCCGATTCGGGTTCTTCTGAGGGCTTTGAAAAAGTCTTGTTCCTGCTTCCTCAGTGTCATTACCGCTGCTATCGTTCCAACGGGAGAAGCTAAGAGCCAGGAATGGCTAACTCCACAACAGTGACAAAATGTCTGGTTTTTAAAGTTCACCCAGTCTCCACAAAGGGCTGAGAAGGAGCTGGAGTGTCACCCACCTCAACGGCTCACATCTCTGAGGGCTGCTCGCCATCTTGCCAGATGGCACGGTCCTTCTCTGGAAGGACCCAGGAGAAAGCTTTTCCTTACACTGGGCCCGAACTTACTCCCTGTGGCTGCCCGTTCTTTGTTTCAAGCCTCAAGCCAGCGAAATCCTTCTTTCCCCAGTAGCTGTGCATGAAAGCACCGGATTGCCCCACTCCATCCTTCCCACGCAGGAGGCCTCCTGGTGGCCGTGGTCCCCAGGCTAACTGAGGGAGCCAGTGAGCCTGAGGAAGTCCGTGGGCTCCTGAAGGCTCCAGTGCGGACACGCTCAGTCCACTGTGGGAAGCACAAGCATGCGGGCTGCTTTGCCCCGGAATCTACCACATCCTCTTACATCTCAGCGATGGCTTCACTTTCCATACGGGCTTTAACTGAGGACCCAGTGGAAACATCACACCAGGAAGCACAAAATCCACATGACACTGAGTTAGTGCAGCTGGGAAGGCTCCATCTGGGCAAGCACCTTCTGTCAATGGCATTTATTTAATGAGAATAAAAAGCAAACGCAATGAACTATGAAGGGTGGCTCAGGATATAAAATAAATATAAATGCTTACCTCCCCCTGGAAGCTCTTCAGCAGTGGCGCTACCTGCTTGCGCAAATCCTGGAGCAAGAGGGGTGGGTCAGGAAACAGCCATTGCAGAAGGAAAGAGAAGGGAAACATTCGTTAAGGCCTCCTAAAAACAGCTTTGAATTCAGTGATGATTATCATTAGATAAAGCAATCCTGGTACCTCCCCTGTCCATTTCCTTCATTCGTACAACATAAATCATGCTGACTGGCTCTCCGTAATTTAAATGAACTTACTTGGGAATATCACTAGATTCTCTTTCTTCCCGAGGCCCGGCTACACACACTTCATGCTGAATGTGCTATGGACTCGAGTGTTGGCTGGTGTCAGTCTGAGATAACCTGCTTAGTATAGAATAGGATCTTATATTGTACATTTGACTTGTTTGTATCTGAAAAGGATCTGGGGCCACCATCCTGCATTTTAGCTGTTTCTTTTAAGCACTGTTACTGGGGGATACGTCTGTTTTGAATCCGTGTCTGATACGGTCGGTGGAAATTTCATCCCAAGCTACCAGTACCCCTTTCATAACAACGGAACACCCCAGAGGGAAGTCTGTACGATCTCCTTGAGAATATTTTCTTTCAAATGAAGTAAGTGACTAATGCACAACATAGTGATTATAGTCAATAATACTGTATTATAAACTTCAAAGCTGCAGAGAGACGAGATCTTAACTGTGCTCAACACAAAGAAGAAAAGACAATTATGTAATGTGATAAAGGTGTGAGCTAAACACTACTCCAGCAGGAATAGTGCAAGTTTGCAAAAGTACCAACCAACCCAGGGTACACCTCCACCTTACACAACGTTACGTGTCAACTGTATCTCAATGGGAAAAAAAAAATGAAGTAACTGAGAATATGCGTCAAAGACTTTGAAATATACTCAAACAATGCAGCTCCTCCTTCATCGAGACATGGGGCAAATGAGGTATTTACTGAACATGATCTACGTGCCATATCAAATTTAATAAGTCTGGGCCAAGGCCAGGCATCTGCCTATTTTCAGGTTCCAAGGCTGATGCACACGCCAACTGATGAGTACCGGCAAACAATGGACATGGGCCGATCAACCCATAACACAGGAAGGAGGTGAAGTATTATTTCAGGATAAGAGCCCAGGTGCTATGGGGAGAGCACAGAGGAAGGATAAATTCAGATGAAGGAGGCGAGGAGCGGTTTCACAGAGGAAGTGGCATCTGGGCTGAGAAGGCGGCAGGGTCTTTGCAGGCCAGTTCTCAGTATGCCCGCCCGTGCGCACGTCCCCTCTAACCCGCCGTCGAATACACAGATGCTCCTGGGCAAATAAAGAGTCTGGACGTCTGTCTACAGCTCCTGGGTCAGAACCCGGTCCATCAGATGGAAGGCGGCGGACAGAGCCCTGATTCCAAATTCTGGCCCGGCCACTCACTCTCTGTGGGAGCCCGGGATGCCACTCTACCTCCAGAAGCTCAGTTTCCCCTCCCCAACGTGCTTAATAATACGAACCACTTTCACTACTATGAGTAACATCATAGTTACCATTCAGGGAAAAGCGTTCTAGAAAATTTAGAGTTACCCTAAATCCATGTGAGCGCACAGAAGACAGTCTTCTCTGGCACCAGGACTTTTTCAAGCCTCACTTGAAGGTGGATGAAGAGGGAACCCCCACACCCCAGAAGGGGTGGGGGATGACCCCTCGGCCTCTCTCGCTCTGGGATGCTGTGATTCTCTAAGGAGGCCCGGCCCTGGGCCTGCTCAGCGCCCCCGAGGTGAGCCGTCCTCATCAGCTGTGTGTACGTACACAGAGCCACGTGCGGTACCTGCTTGCTCTTTTGCTGACTGATGGACAGCATTCTGTGCTCCTTTAGCCTAGCACCTAACCCAAGGGCCCTTCTTCCATCCTAAGCTCGGAAACCAGCTCGCTCCCTCACAGAGCTGAGCAGCGTTAGGAAGAACGGCTCATGGTGTTTCCTGCTCCTGGGTCCTTTGTGGTTTTCCTCTGGACCAGGGCCTTTAACCATTTTGGGTCGTGAAGCCTTCTGAGAATCTGAGGAAAGCTATTCACTCGTCCCTCCGGGTTGCAACTCTGCGAATGACTTCGCTGTCGCCTTCCTGAAGCCTATCCACACGACCCAGGTTAGGAGCCAGGTTAGGACCAGGTTAGGACCCAGGTTAGGACCCCTCGTTCCGGCCTGTGCTGTCCAGTATATAGCCACCAGCTAGTTATACTTAAACATAACTTAATTAAACCGAATTTAAAAATTCAGTTCCGGGCGCCTGGGTGGCTCAGTTGGTTAAGCAACTGCCTTCAGCTCAGGTCATGATCCCAGGGGCCTGGGATCGAGCCCCACATCGGGCTCCCTGCTCTGCGGGAAGCCTGCTTCTCCCTCTCCCACTCCCCCTGCTTGTGTTCCCTCTCTCGCTATGTCTCTCTCTGTCAAATAAATAAATAAAATCTTTAAAAAAAAAAAAATAAATAAATAAATAAATAAAATAAATAAAAATTCAGTTCCTTCGGTTGTAGAAGCCACGTTACAAGGACTCAGCAGCCACATGAGGCTGGCGGCTACCAGGCCAGAGGGCACAGATCCGGGGCTCCTCCTCACTGCAGAGCAATCCATCTATCAGACGGGGCTATGCCGTAAGCTCTCTGCCAAACACAGCTAACCCACATTGTTTTGTACTGTGACCCTGTGCAAGTACTTGATCAAGAAATGTTATCATTTCCCTTTTAATGATACGTTTTCCTATAGGTCGCATTCCTAAGGGTGATACCATTATTTCCCCAGAGAAGGCAGTACTTTTGTTTCTCTGCCCCAACCCTTTCTATGTTCTTACACCAAGTTCAATGACAAAAAAAGCTGTCAGAGTCTTTATCAGCCTCTTCCTAAATAAATAAGGCCATCTGTGATAGACAGTCCTCAAAGATGCCCATGTCCTGATCCCTGGGGCCTGGGGCTCTATTAGGTTAGGGACTCAGCAGCTATGAGTAACTTAGGGACCCTGAGCTGGGGAGACGAGCCTGGTTGGCCCAAGGGGGCCAGAGGCAGGAAGGAGGGCAAGAATACTCCTTTAGCCCGAGTTCTTCTCCGGGGGACAGAGGAAACAATGTACACCAAAAGCCGTAAGTGGGGAACCAGGGATGAAAAGGGTGAAGAATGAGGGGGATCACCGTCGGATCCCAGCCAAGATCAGTGGTAAAAGCCCATGTTGTAACCACAAGAAATGAGCCACGCTCCTTTGTCAGAAACCTGGGACCACAGGTTATGACGTGGGAAGTCTAACGTGAACAGCCCACTGTGTGTTGGGGATAGGGTGACATGGAGGGCAAGGTGGCAGTAGAGAGAGCCTGGGGACTCTAGGGGGGGACCAGGCTGGTCCCCTGCCCTCCTCATCCGTCCCTGGGGCAAGGACAGACAGGCAGGATGAGCGCACCGCACTGCTCTGGTCACAAAATTGCAAACACAAGATGATGGATGGAGTTTGCCTGTTGTTTGTTTTCCAAAAAGGCTGACTTTGAGGAAGGCAGCTGGTTAATGAGGTGCGGCTGTATTCTCCAGTCTTCCCGCCAAGCAGCCCGGTGCTAGGGTTCGCATCCTAGTGGGTAAAGAGCTGGCGAACATTCATGAAGCGGTGCTGGCCCAGTCCATGGCACGCAAGCCCGGCTTTCACAGATATGCTGCAAATCTTCCTGTCAAGAGGCCACAAACCGGGGCGCCTGAGTGGCTCAGTCGGTTAAGCGTCCAACTCTGGGTTTTGGCTCAGATCATGATCGCAGGGTCACGAGATCGAGCCCCGCATGGGGCTCTACCCTCAGCAGGGAGTCTGCCTAAGGATTCTCTTTCTCCCTCTGCCCCCACTCTCTCTAATAAATAAATAAATCTTAAAAAAAAAAAAAAAAAGAGGCCATAAACCCATGTTCATCTATTACGTAAAAATAAGATGTAAACAGTTCAAGGACAGTAACTTCAATGTGATACTTGTCCAACAACCATTCGAGCCCTGGGCTTCGGGATGGCCCCTCGCTTTCCAGGGAGCTATGGCTGAGCGCCCACCCCACCCACACATGGTCTGCAGGCCTGCCTCGCTGGGTCTGACAGCTGGTGGCATCTGATGGCCCTTGGGCTCTGGAGAGGGGACTCCTAAGGCTTTCCACGGGTCCAGATCTGGCTGCTGAGAGCTGGAAGCCAGGCCCCCCAGTGTCACAGGACGTGTTTCCTGTTGCTTCTCACTGTGAGTCTATAAAGGCAGCTGTGATTGTAAGAGTGCATCCTCTTCTTTCCAGACTAGGGGCTGCTTGAGGGCAGGGAGTGGGTTTGAGGCCCCCCGCCCCCAGCACCCCAGGTGGCATCGCCGGCAGCCAGCGCCGGGCTGGACAATATTTTGCTGAGGAAATCCAGGCACAAGAGGTTTTAAACCTTGAGTGGGTCAGTCATTCCTTTCCCCAGAGGGTCAGTCCACCACACGCAGGACGGGGGCAGGGCTGTAGGTGTGGCCCCCCCGGGTTACCGGGCGCCCTCTGTGGCCCCCGGCCTGGGTTGGCACCGACACGAGGTTGCTCCCGAGAGACTGAATGCCATGTTGGGCTACATTTACAGGAGCGCTCACCTCAGTCCCCTGCGTGTCTGGAACGGGGCCTGGCACACAGAGGGACCTCAGAAGACACAGAGTGGGTGCATGAGTAAGAGGAAGACAGGCAGCTGAACAATCCCTCAGAGGGCATCAAGACCTGGCCGCGCGAGAGGGTGCCTGCATCAGGGCCAAAAACCAGGCGCCGACCACCTACGTAACTTAAAATTGCCCACGGTTACACTGACAAAGCAAAAAGAAACAGATGAAATGAGTCCATCCAAAATATTTTCATCTCCCATATAATCAATATAAAAATGATTTTAATTTATTTTTATTATTTACTTAATTGACAAAGAACGATACTTCTTTTTCTGGTGTTAAAGCCTCTGAAATCTGCATTTTACGCCTCGGCACATCTCACTTTGGACCGGCCACATGTCAAGTGCTCCCTCCACTGACCCCCCGTCACCCCACCAT